TGGAGAAGACCATCTTTCCTTGGCTGGATCCAGGAGTACGGGGCCAAAAGCATTGCTGAATTCAAGGCCCGTATCGAGGCGAAGCTGAGGGAGGATGCTGAGTCTCGGCGGCTTCTGATTTCCGACCACGAGAGCCAGCTTGCTCAGGTGCTAACCAGCAGCTGAAGAAGGATCTGGAGGCTCAGAGCTTGTGGCCGCACAAAACCTTCTTGAAACCCGCATCTACACTGTGGGAGAATATGCTGAAGGGTTTGAGAATGGTTGGAAGTCTGCTCGTCGGCCGGCCCTCCATGCTGCTCCAGACATCAATTGGGATCAAGTCGAAGCCTGGTAGATGGACCCTGACAACCCTCGTATCAACGAGGCCAGCCAGGCCGAGAATGACTTCTTGGTTCTGGGGGGGAGGCTGAGAAGGCTGCTAAGGAAGTGGACACTATTCGTCCAGGATGATGATGAAGCATAGGAATTCGGGCAGCCGTCTTTTGAGTCTTGCGGATCTACATGCGCCTAATTGATGATCTCCGCTTCTGCTTTGTCTTTGTTTTTGCTTTAGTCTGCCTTGTACAAACTTTTAATTAGTTTTTGTGTACTTTCGGCAGCTGTGTTTCCGCTTTGTGGGCGGCTGCCGATCTTTAAATTTCTCCTGAAACTTTGAATCTTGAATGTTTTCTCAGCGTTTCTGCTGATCAACGCTGTTGTTTGCATGCTTATTTGAATGATGAAGGCCCTTCCTTCTCGTTTTGCCTGTTTGAATAGCTTTGAACTTAGTTGTTTTTTTCCTGAATTTCTTCAAAATTTGACCAAGTATTAAGCTTCGGCATGAAAATATTTAGCTGAGAATTTTTCTTCGTCCTTCCTTTTTACCTTGCCTATTTTGCTCAGGTTTTTAGAAATTCCTCAAGTATTGCTCGGCTTGGAGCTTGATTTTTTTAAATTCCCCAAGTATTGCTCAGCTTAGATCTTGATATGTGAGTACCTCTTGCCCCCCCCCCCCGAACTTTGAAGATAAGGTCTTCAGAGTTCTGAGTTTATTGCTTTCATTCTTTGGGCGTAGCAGAAGGTTTTGACTTAGCAACATTTTTGCAACTTAATAGTTTGAACACTTATGTTTGTTTCTTTATTTGCTGCCTGGTTTTAATTCATCCGAGGGAACGACTATCTGGGACACAATGCCCGGGCGATGATTTTCCTAAGTACAAGGCATCATTGTGCAATACTTCGGAGGTGTAATCATCACCCGGAATTGACTTGCCGAAGCGCAGGGCATCATTATGCAATGCTTCGGGCCTTTTATCAAATCCTATTTTCGGCTATGTCTTAGATGAGCCTATGACCTCTTTGCCGAGAGTAACAAATCCGTCCGAGGTACAGTGCATCATTATGCAATACCTCGAGGTTCGATTCGTTACCCCTATTTCGGCAGGTTCTCAGGCTTGCCGAAGTACAGTGCATCACTATGCAATACTTCGGACAGCGGCGCGTGTAAACCTTGAATTTTTCAAAAACGATGAAGACAGATATAATGAAGGCATAATGAAATTGCGACTAATGGTGGCTCAAAGGCCTTTCATTGATTGAAGAGAATGTACTTACATATATTGTTCTCCCACAACGGGTTTTACACATGATATCTTTTAAGTACATCAGCATTCTAGTGGTTTTTTCAGCTGAAGTCGATAAGTTCTTGGTTGGAGCTCATCATATATCTCATAAGGCCCTTCCCAGCTTGCCGAAAGCTTTCCGTGGATGCGGCCTTTCTGGACAGCAGCGGCATTCCGAAAAACAAGGTCCCCGACTTTGAGAAGCCTTGCTTGGACTCTTCGGTTATAGAACTTGCTGATTCTTTGTTTGTATGCTGCCATTCTGTCCCCGGCCGAATCTCGGATTTCGTCTAGGAAATCAAGGGACTCTTTCATGAGATGCTCATTTTCTTCGGCTAAGAACTGGTTGACTCGAAGACTTTCTGAACCGATTTCCACTGGTAAAACAGCCTCGGATCCATACACCAGTTCAAAAGGTGAATGCTCTGTTGCCTCTTTCTCGGTCGTCCGAAGTGACCAAAGAGTTCCGGGAAGTTCCTCTATCCACTTGGACTTTTGATCCTCAACTCTCTTTTTGAGAGCGTTGAGTATTTGCTTATTTGCGGCTTCGGCTTGGCCATTATTTTGAGGATGACAAACTGCCGAATATGCCAATTTTATTCCGAACTGATCAGTGTACCGCTTCAGTGGCGGATTATCAAACTGTCTTCCATGATCAAAGACAAATACCTTCGGGATGCCGAAGCGAGTGATGATATTCTGCAAAATATCCAATCCCCATTGAGCAAAGGGAAGAGAATTTAGGATTGGCTGAAGGTCTCGTGACGGCCGGTGGATGACTAGTGCAAATTTTTGGCATTTTTCACATTTTCTCACCAGCTCCTTGGTGTCCAAGATCATGGTTGGCCAATAGTACCCTGCCCTTAATGCTTTGTGGGCTATGTGGTTTCCGCAGATGCCGAACTGGATCTCCCGAAGGATATAATCTGCATCTGTTGGACCCACACATTTCAGCAGTGGGGCTGCTTCCGGAGTTCCCCATTATAGACGATGAACCTTGAGCCGATTCTATTTAGTTTTGCGGCTTAGATTCTGTCTTCGGGAAGTTCTCCCTGAAGCTTATAAGCGAGGATGGTGTCCATCCAGCTTGGTTCAGCCTCGACACATAGGACCTCAGATTCTTGGTCGATGTTTCTGTTTTGGCGCACTTCCACCTATACAGATCGGTTCAACTCTGTGAGGAATGAATTTGCAAGTTTGGAGAGTGCATCGGCTTGAGCATTTTGACCCCTTGGGATTAGCTCAATTTCAAAAGTTCTCGGCTTCGCCATGACTTTTTTGATTTTTGCGAGATAGGAGATCATGGAGGGTTCCTTAGCCTCATATTCGCCTCGGATCTGATTGGCGACTAGCTGAGAGTCTGTCTTTAAACAGACATGTTCGGCTTCGAGGGCTATGCACAACTCTAAGCCAACGATTGCTGCTTCATATTCGGCTTCGTTGTTGGAGGCCTTGAATGAGAATTTTAGTGCATACTCGAAGTTTTTTCCTTCGGGAGAGGTGATCACTACCCCTGCCCCCGAACCATTCACGGTGGCTGAGCAATCCGTGAAAACAATCCAGATCTTCTTTCCCTCGTCGAGTGTTTCCTGATAGGAACATTCGGCTAGGAAATTTGCTAAGGCTTGGGCCTTAATAGTTGTCCTTGGCTGGTAGCTGATGCTGAACTCGGTGAGCTTGAAAGCCCACTTTGCCAGTCTACCTAATTTTTTGACCTTGCCGAGGACTTTTTCCAGCGGTTGATCTGCCAAGACTGCTATTTGATGAGAATCGAAGTAGGGTCTTAACTTCCGAGCTGCTACCACCACCGCATATGCAACCTTTTCGAGGAAGGGGTAGCGCGTTTCGGCGTCGGTCAGAGTGTGACTGACGAAGTAGATCGGTTGTTGAACCCTTTCTTCTTCCCTCAGCAGCACCGCACTTACTGTGGCGGGGCTAACCGCCACGTACAAGTTTCCCCTTCTGCTGGTCTTGCCAGCGTTGGGAGATGAGCTAAGTGCTCCCGGAGCTGCTGAAAGGCTATCTTCTGCTCTTCTTCCCATATGAGCTCCTTAGATTTTGGTAGTTTGAGCGCCTTGAAGAAGGGCAGCCCTTTGTCCGAGGCTTTTGAGATGAACCTGGATAGGCAGCCATCCTTCCCGTAAGACGCTGAACATCCCTTTTCGTCTACGGCTCGAGAAGGTCAAGAGCTGCTTGTACTTTGGAGGGATTTGCATCAATCCCCCTCTTTTTTGCTTTTTTAGAATTTTTGCCACTCTTAGTCATTTTTTTGCGTTGGCTAAGATTGGTATGAGATTTTTGGCTGAATTTTTGTAAGTATCCCCACAGACGGCGCCAAATTGTTTCGGTAGAAACAATGGGACCTTCGGCAAGCCCTTCGGATGAATGGAGACGAAGGCCAATTCGAGTGATGACCGAATTGAGGATTTCCTGCACAGCTAAACAAACGTAAACTACGTAAACTGCCTGGGGGGTGTGCCGAGGAAGGCCCCTCTGATGCCGAAGTCAGTACGAGTGTCAAAAGGAGAGAGAATTGCTATGCAAGAGTGTTTGTTGCTTGAGGCTATGATTGTGAATGAATGTAAATGTGTATGAGCATGAGCTTTTATACCTTGCTCCAATTGAATGGAGTGGGCTTGAGGAGTCAAATGGGCTGCCATTTGACTGGGCTTCGTTGACTTGACTTGGCACATGTAGGAGGGTTAGAACTTGCCTTTGGGCTTTGCTTATTTTCATTGATGGACTGGGCCCAAATATATAAGTTATTTGGACCCCAATAAGTTCTGACAAAATAAATTTTTTTACAAACCAAAGATTTTTTTTTTTTTCAAACAAAGTTCATTCTTTTTTTTTTCCTAGAAAGTTTCACGCACATATAAGGAAATTGAAACAAAATAAGTTAGATATATTAAGATTCAGATAAGTAAATATAAGATAAATAAGTCGAGCCTAAAACTAAGAGTGATACTTCCATACAAATTAACATGACTATTATTGTAAACATACATAAAAAGTGAACATGATTTTTATTTGTGGACAAAGGGAGTATTAATCTTTTTCATGCTTCCATTGGTCACTAATAAAAGAAACTTCTATTACATCCTCTAGACCCATTTGCCAAAAGACATTAGCTTATCTTAACAAAAGTTTTCAACCTCCCTCTTCAAACATTATAATGTCTCACACAGCTAGTAACAGCCAAATGCTTCAATTTAAATTCTTCTAATTGGCTCTTTTTTTTCCAGAGATATAGCTATCCATACCTCTATGTCCTCTGTTCTCAACCATGCTTAATTCATCATAACAACAATAAAAAGGTTTGTTCAAGAACATCTATTTCATTTTCTACTTTTTTACAATTAAAGTGACACAACCTGGTGACATGATCAAGGGGATTACCTGTGGATTACGGATCAATCCATCAAGAACTGACTGTAGAGTTGATCGGAGTTCCTTGAATAGCACAGCGGTTTGTGCTGGTGCAGCTACCTTTAACCAACCATCTACCGTTACAAGCCCCAACTGAAATTAAATAACAATAATTTACAATTGTACTCCACAAAGAGAATTTTCTAGTTTATCTTAGTAGGGATTATGGGAGAAAAAGGGGCACAACATAAACATGAAGCAACTAACAATTTTGTCATAGCTCATTCCACTTCATGACAATAAAAAGACCATTGGTCATGGTGGTCAACACTCCCTACCAAGAGAGATGCATGAAAGTGGGCCAAAGAACATGCCATTATTGCAAAATATACATCTGTTCTTGTCCGATTGCAACGTTGAAAATGTTACACTATCCATAAAAACTGCTTCGACCTTTTCTGATATACGTTATGAAAAATAGTCATGTGGGGTCTTGTTAAATTTGCCTCGATATATACTTTCTACATATTAATTTTTTATAATTTTTACTATTGTATAATTAGAGATATTGATAGCAAAAAATGTGCATTGGCAAGCGTGAAAAACCTAAAGCGGGACTTTTCTAAGAAATGGTGAATGTCTAAAAATTTATTTTCTAGAAGGTTCAAACATCAAATCACCAGTTGAAATTAGCGCGGGGGGGGGGGGGGAGAGTTTGCTCTTTCCCAGATGATGGGAAAGGTTCCCTATGTATGAAGTAAGCAACAAATATCTTCAATATAGTCAAGGTGAACAAAGTGAATAATGAATAGCATAGCAAGAACTTCAACCATGGAAATTAAATTGGTATGCAAATCAAATCACCCAAACTTAATGCACAATTTGGGAAGATTCCACCATGCAATCAGAATATCACCTACAGGAATAAGGTTAATTCCAAATAAAACAATTTCATGCTAGACCCTATAGATAACACAAGTCTTAAAGCCAATTAAACACATATATGTTCAAAAACTGCCAAATAATTACAAGTAAACAAGGATCGACATTTATTAAAGTTGATATCTATTTATAGTTGGTATCTGGCAACTCACCTGATGCTGAACTTGTATGGAACCACCAAAAAGTAGAAGTGAATACGGAGAGATGATTGTAGTGTCTCGTAGAAAAACCTTGTGGGTTTCAACCTACACAGGTGGAGTATCGAACTAGTCATCACTCTCATAGATATAATTTTAAACAATCTATAATTAAAAAGATGGAGTATAGAACTAGTCATCACTAATGTTGTTCTATGGTACAATGTTGGGCTTCTAAGAAGGAGCACATTAAAAAGATGGAGGTTACAGAAATGCACATGTTAAGGTGGATGTGCGGGAACACTCTAAGAGATAGAATTAGAAATGAGGTTATTCGCAAGAAAGTAGGTGTGGCAGGCATTGCAGACAAACTAAGGGAAAATCACCTGCGTTGGTTTGGGCATGTTAGACGGAGACCCGAGGGTGCACCGGCTCAAAAGAGTGGGACCATGGAGGGGTTAAACAAGGGAGAGGGAGACCGAAAATGACTTGATTGGAAGGAGTTAGGAAGGATATGAAGTATATGGATTTGCATGAGGATGAAACATTGGAACGTAAGGATGGAGGAGGAAGATTTTTGTGGATGACTACACGGAATAATCAAATTTGGTTCATGTAGCCGACCCCACTTATGGGATTAAGGCTTTGATTGATTGATGATTTTGATTATAATTCAATCTCATATGGGTTCATATTAAAAGGAACAAAAGTTGAAGGCACCATGTCAAGATGCTTAAACTGATCGAAGATCATTACTCCTTTCATTTCCATGATATGCATCAATGAGAATTATCAGACCAACAGTCAATAATAAACTACCCATGTTGCATTATATAACCTCTTTCATTCATATTCGAGAAATTTGACTAGTAATCATATAACCAGATTTAGGCCCTGTTCACTTCATCTTATCTTAGTTTTGTTGAACTCAAATTATTGTTGATGGGGTGAAATTATCTTTACTGATTTTCTATTATATTTCTTCTTTATAATTACTGATTTTTACTGAATTGAAATTATTTTTACTAAACTGAAATTATTTTCTCAACTGAATTTAATATTGAACTTTTTACCGAAGTGAAATTAATATTTTTTTTATTAAGGTGAATTGAATAGGGCTTTAATGAGCGTAATGAAATGATTCAGACATATGCTCACACAAAGAATCAAAAATTAAAATTCAAGTTTACTAGATGAACCGAATCAAAAATCAAATTCAACAAATTCCAACCATTTTGTCACATGCACAAAGAAATATTTCCCTCCAATTATTGCAAAATGACAATGACAAAACAAGAATTGACTATATGGAGGGATCAAAATCTCAATCATACTTACCTTTTCAAGGAATACAAGGAAAGGATGTTGGAAGATCTTTGAATCACCATTGACAGAAGAAGGGTGTATATGAACTTCTCTTTTTCCATCATACCAAGCAGGGCTGCCCTTAGATATAGATTTAAGCGATTGCCTCAGATTCCCAAGAGCTGGAGCATGAATACCATCCACAGTTGCAGCCACATTGGGATAGAGACCTGCACATAATATTGCCTGCAAACACATATTTGCCTTAGTTGCCAATTACTACAAGTACCTTGATAAAGCATTAAATTTAGGAGGATAAGATACTTTTGAATCAATTTAATGACACATCTCGGTGAAAATGAAATCATTAATTGAATTACAACACCATTTACTAGAATGATATACATATTTACTGGAATATATATATATAGGGGAGACTCTTGTGATAAGCCCTCGTTTATGTGAGCACTCTTTCCTATACGAGAACATTCTCTATGTTCTAAATTTTTACTCATATGTTCTAAATATTAAATAAGGTGTTCTAAATTTCTATTCACATGTTATAAATCATAAATGAGTTAAATCAAATTTTTTAAATCATTACTCACATGTTCAAAATCTTAAATTAGTTGTTCTAAATTTTAACTTATGTGTTCTACATTTTAAATTGTGTGTTCTAAGATTTAGGAGCCGCTTGGCCTAGTTACTGAAACTGTTTCTCAATCTAAGAAATAGAAACTGGGCCAAACAAGGGAATTTTAAGAACCAAGCACACTTTTTTAAGAAGCCCAAAATAGCTTTTAGGAAGGTTAAAATGAGAAGCACCAAATTGGAGCTTCTCAAAACTGTTTCTGGGGCAATTAGTGTAATGTACATAGACATTTTGGAAATATACTTTTGTAATTAGTGTGTAGAGGGAAAATAATGAGAGAATTGAATACATGTTCACTTCATTTTGAATAATTTGTCCATGAATTTTTGTAGCTGGTCACCTTGTACCTGGAATAAATCTGATGCTAATTTTTATTGAACAAAAAAACCATAATCTGATGCTAATTTTAATTGAAAAAAAAATTGATGTTTTACCAGGGTGAAAGAATCACTTCTAATTTTATTAGGCTAAACAATTCTATTCGTTGCAAGTGTTTCTCTAGAAATAGTTTCTGGAAAACTACTTCTAGGACCTAGAAGTAGTTTTCCAAAAGCTTGGCCAAACATAGCCTTATAACCATATGTTTTAGATTGTAAATCATACGTTCTATATTATAATTCATATGTTCCAAACTTTTACTCATATGTTCTAAATTTTAAATCAGATATTCTTAATTTATAGTGACATGTTCTAAATCTCAAATCAGATGTTCTAAATTTTATTCATACGTTCTATATTTTAAATAAGGTTTTACAAAATTTTACACATACATTCTAAATATAAAAACAGATGTTCTAAATTAATACTCACGTAAATGTTCTAAATTGGAAAATTTAACAACAATAAGCTAATCTTTGCTCCGTTCTCCCAAAATGGACTAACCTTTAAATCTTCCCAAAATAAACACAAGTTTGTATTTTTTCTCCCATAGCAAACCCAAATGACTTATGACCTGAACAACCGGTCATTTTTTTAATTTCCTTTTTTGTCATTTAATTATCTATTTAAATTAAAAAAAAATAACAAAATTGAAAAAAAAAAAAAAACCCTAAGACCTCTTTGCTTTTCTCGCCACCACCAAACCGCACAACTTAGACCCCTTGCTTTTCTCGTCGCCAACCGCCAATTCCCCTCCCTTCCTGCCTGCTACATTCAATCTCCTTCACTCACGCTCACCACCAACCACACCTATCAACAACATTAGCCAACTCCCACTACTCCTTCACCCCCCTACTTTTCTAGCCATCACCAAACCGCACAACTTCCTTACTCCCTCTATTCTCACGCAAGCATATGACCACTTCACCACGCCAACCTCCAGCATATCGCCACCATTTCCGGTCACCGCAAGCAGCCGCGCAATCCCAGCCAGCATCTACTACCGTAGATCTAGTTTTTTGGTTGTTTTTCTGAGTAATTGTTGTTAGATCTAGTCTTGCTTGGGTGTTTGTGGGTTGTTTATGGGTGGTTAGGGGTGTTTATGGAGATGGTTAGGATTTTTTTGGTGGTTTTCGTAATGGTTTGGTGGTTTTTGGAGGTGATGAGTAGTGTAACTGTGTAAGTAGTGTATGTGGGGTTATTAGCATTGAGTGGTTTCATGGAGGGTGGGGGAAAGGGAGGGGGGTCGCAACACTTTCCTTTTACATCCATTTCATATTAATTGCAACACTTTCCTTTTACATCAGTTTCATAATAATTGCAACGCTTTCCTTTTACATTCATTTTATAATAATTGCAACACTTTCCTTTTACCTCCGTTTCATAATAATTGCAACACTTTCCTTTTACATTTGTTTCATAATAATTGCAACACTTTCTAATTTGGTAAGGACCCACAACTAATTTATTATTTCTCTCTCCCACTAACCCCACTTGCATAGATTTTTATTATTTCTCTCTCCCTCACTTATACTACTTTTTTTTTTATTATTATTTCTCTCTCTGACTAATAATTAAACATATCTCCACTAACTATACATTATATTATAAAATTTACCCTATGATCCCTACCCTTTAATTTTCCTAAAACTTTGTGATAGGCCTACTATTGCGATTTTTACAAACCGGAGGAAGTAAAAAAATTGAACCAAACGCCAACAAAGGGAAAGCAAGGATATATGGGAAGTTTTGATTTTTACCGGAAAAAAATAAAAAAAAAACATGAAATTATTTTTTAATACCAACACTTTTAAAAGTTTTATTTTACGACCACAAAAAAAAAAAAAAAAAAAAAAAAAAAAACAAAAAATTGGTTTTTACCACCGTCCGTCAAGAGCCTTCCATAAAATCTAACGTAATTAAATAACATCTTTGATCTCTGTGCCAAAAACATGCTCTATAGTGGTTTTGAGTCCCTCAAGAATTCGATTTGACGTCATAATCAACAAAAAAAAACTATCAAAAATGCCTCGTTTTGCATGTGTCAAGCAAATTGAGGTGTTTTTTCATAAGCAAAACGAGTTGTCAATTTCGACCTCAAATCAACCTATAGGTCCAAAATGATCCCAAAACCTCTAAAGAGCATTTTTTGGCATGGATATCAAAAAAAAGTTTAATTCCGTTAAATTTAACGAATGGTTCTTGACGGACGGTGGTAGAAACCACTTTTTGGTTTTATTGTGGCAGTAAAAAACAATTTCGTGTCTTTCTTTTTATGGTAAAAATTAAAAAAAAATCCAAATATGTACCCTTCCTTTTCTAGAAATCCCACACAACTAAACACCCCCTTAATGGTAGTTAAGACTTAGGAGATGAGGCAACATCATCAATCGTTTTCTGATGTGTGATTTTTTCATATTGTGAGCTAGCTAGAGTAGACCATTTCAGATTGGCAATTGAATAATATTCCTGTCTAATGGGTCTGCTGGATCAACAAGTTAATTATGTAAGAGTTGTTGTGAAAGAAAGAGTAGAATTGCTTTTTTTTTTTTTTTTCCTTTTTTTTAAAAAAAAATATCCTCATTAATGATTGTTATTTGAGTTTGTGGTTATGGAGGGATGAGCCAGATGACAGGATCTTCCAGAACAGAAACCTTGATCATGAGCCTTGACATCAAATAATAAATATTTACCTCCAATCATTTCTTTAAGAGGCTCCTTGCAAATTTTCTGCATGTCTTTCTTAACCAATAAAATTTAAAGTTCTTTTGAAAAAATTTCATAGATCAGATGCAGGAACCAACAGCATTAATACTAATGAATTTTACTTCAAAAAATTAATTCGGCACAGAGAGGACATATAATTACCTTCACCACTGCACAATGATTAGCATGCTTGTTAAATGGTTGTGATGCATTAGAAAACCAGCCATCCAGATTTCCTTTTCTCCTACCCTGAATCAAATCCAACACACATAAGAAGCAAGCAAACAAATAATCACAAGGAAAGAGAAGTCAATTATTGAATAAGATGAAAAATATACACCGATCTAGCAAGCTTAAGCTAAAAGAGAGATACACACTAGATTTGGTTGGACAAAAATTGTGATTTCCAATAAGGTTGACTTCGCAGAAAAAGAAATTTCTATTGATCCTAAACTGCTTTATTGGAATCAGAAAGTTCAGCGTGGTATACATGAGTTATCAATCAGAAAGTTCTCAATTTGTGGAAAGAAAACTCCTAAGAATTACATTTCCCACATTGTTATCAGACAGCTAACTGAATTTCTATCTTCTAAGATATAAAACATAATCATTTTTCTTATGTCCATCAAATGGCATCTTAATTTCATATTAACAGCTTCCTTAGTGCATTTAGTTTGTAATCTGCATCTCCTTGCATGTGCAAGTAAAGGCATATGAAAAATACAAATCCTATTTAATTCATTCATGATTGTAATCAAGCTTCAACTTCTTTGTCTCATGCCTAAACACCTCAGTTGGTATATTAACTGGTCTTCAAATGAACAAGCTATCTCCTTTATTCATGATGATATTATTAAAGTTACTCTTCTTCTTTCTTTTTTTTTTTTTTCTTTTTTTTTTTCTTTTTTTTTTTTTTTTTGCCAATTGTAAACAATGCACAAACACCGACAAACATGCAAATTATTTCAGTAAAAGGCAACCTGATAATCGTCAGGGAGATGGATGAGACCAATATCTGCCAATAGTGTTCCAAGTTGCACTCGCATATCACTACCAAAAATAAAAAATAAAATAAAATCACTTGTAATGTCAGCATAGTGAAAGCTAAGACTGACATCATATATTTTCCATCAAACATTCTGAAACTTTAAATCAATAATACAAATATCAGATATTACAAATAGAAAACTTTCTAAAATAAAGCTCAATAAATTTAAATAGCATCCAAAGGAAATGTAAAGTTGTTAACAGTATACATGACCGTATAAAGCAAAAAAACCAAGGAAAATCAATTAAACCAAGCCAGAACATATATCACGTAAAGAGTGAAGTGTTTCAGTTGGATCTTTAAAAAGGCTAGGTACCTAGGTGCTCCACCTGCTTGAAGTCGATGTAAAAGCTTATTCACTGGTGACAAAACAGCAAAAGCAGGAAGAGAATCGTGAAACCCATTATTTTTAACTTTTGAGGTAAATATTTATCCGATCATAATAGAGATAGTTTTACATTCATGCTTCTAGTTTGAATTCAAACTTCAAAGTCTACATTACATTTTATATAAAATGCTCATTCGATATAAACTAAAAAGGCATCATTCACCAACAAGAATCTTCCACAAAAGACCTCACCAGTTTTTAATTCATATAGAACTCATTATGGAACAAACTTAGTGCATAGCTTTACTTTCCCATGTTCTTTTTCAATTGAGATTCAGAAATAGAGAATTTGTATAACTGATTTAGTTCTCCAAAGGCTCTCTACCAGCAGCATTCACTAGAAACACACTACACTCCAAAATGATTCACTCACATTACTCTTAATCTATTCACTCTGATCCTAAATAGATGCATCACTTTCCTTTTTGGATGTTCCAAACTAAATGCATCACATCTATCTGTAATAACTTTCCACCATATTTTATTATTTCTCTCGCTTCACATAGTCCCCATTCAAAATATTTTATTATTTCTCTCCTATATTGTCCCCATTTAAAAAAAAAAAAAAAAAAAAAAAATTAACTCCCTCTCACATTCTCTCTTTCATGGTCCCCCATTTTTTTTTATAATCAATAACTTACCCCACTTGCCCAATTTAATACGAATACAAATAAACTCTCATTAAGCTCATCGCAATCCCAAGTGATGGATTCATATAGCAACAGAGGGAGTTTAATACTGTATTTCTCACCAAAATAACTAATTTACATGTCACAACATACTCTACAGTATGACCAAAAAATGCACGAATTCAAACAATAAATAGCAAGTAGGAGAAAAGCTTAAGATGAATAAGTACCGTATCGTGTGCATAACTGAGCTGCTGAGAGAGTGTCTTTTGCAATAATTTTGAGCAGCCTTAACCCCTTTCTGGGAATTTATAAAAAAAAAAAAAAAAAAAAAAAAAAAATTGAAATCAAGAAAGATACATTTCAGATCCCAAGATAACATGCTAAACTCATGAATGTGACGTGTATTCTACAATTTAATTAAAAACTAAGAGCATTATTGATGTTGCAGACTGGCAATTGCTTATAATTAAACATCATACTATTATAGACAGACAAACTGTTTCAAGAATACAAGTTTAGAAGAAAATGTAGGGGCATGTGCAGGGTATTGTAAGGAAATTACATGTATTTAGGCAAGTGGAAAATGGTCCCTGTGTGAAAAGTAAGGGCATAAGGCCAGTCTAGATTAAAAATCGTACTTAATAAGAAAATGTTGCAACTATTATGACATTTCTATTTTAGGGAGATGGTGCAACTAAGAAGAGATGGAGGAAGTACTAGATTGAAAGACATGTATTGTTGTAAAAATGCCATAGTCTTACGTCTCGGAGAATCTTCTCCCATTTCTCATAGGCAATCATCATTATGATGTGATCAGATTGACTCGCATTATTGTATGAACTGCTAGATCCATCAGTCTTATCAGACAAAATTGCTAGTTTTGATCGTTCAACAAATTCTCTCTGAAAGACAAACAGAAAGAAACTCATCACTGAATAGGTGTTTTAAATCATAAAGGTTACGCGTGAGTATCAAGTATTACAAATAGAAGAAACCTCATCTTTCAGGTGAACAAATGGTGATTTGTGACTCAAAAATGCAGCAATTGACAGGATAGGCGATAAACATCCGAATATTGCACCATATAACATCATCTACAAGAGGAAAAAAAATAATGGTATTCAAAAGCAACTTCACGTGGCTACTGGCACTATTACAGCCCTCAGCCCCAAATTGGATTAACATAGAACTAACGATCAAGATAATTGCATTCGAGATTACAAGTATTCATTAATTGTAAAAATTGAAAATAAAAAATCATTGGTTAGCCAACAAAAACACGATATATATGTTTATATAAAATGAAAAATAATCATATCATTAACCTACGATTATTCCAAATTTTCTCTCTCCGAAACCACCCCCCCCCCCCCTCTCCCACCAGTAACTCAATAGTTTTCATGGATTATTTACAGATTTGTACGAAAAATTGCATAAAAAAGCTTTTACATATTAACAATTTGATTAGATTTCAAATTGTATAATTCCTAATTCTTAGGCATGCCAAATTGTACACATGAAATGGTTGAGACAATGAATGAAATATTTAAGCAAAAATGGAAGGCTGAATAATTTAAAGTTCCGTCAAAAAAAAAAAAAAATAATAATAATAATAATTTAAAGTTGAAATTAAATCAATATTTCATGGAGGTGAATGAGCTTAATGGTAAATGATGCATCACTATTTTCTCTCTCTACAATTCTCCACATATTTTTTCTCCAAATTATCCCCCATTTTCTGTACAATAACAATTCAACACATTGTAATACAATTTTAATACTTTTTTCGTAATCACAACTAAAGAAAAAAAAACAACAATCGGTTAGGGTGGCTGCTGGTCAGAAGGCTAAGCGTCGGCGGCGATGGTGGTTGAGGGCCAACAATCATGATTGGTCTAAAATGTAAATCAAGCTTTAGAACATTTGCAACAATTATCAAAACACAAACTTAAATTTTAGAACACATACTCAAATAGATTTGGAGTATTTCAAAAGTTAGCTTTAAGGTAAACAATGAACCTTTATTGCCTTATTATATCAATATTAAGAAGAATATTAAATAGTGTTGTTCTGAATAGCAAAGATAAATTGTCCTTTGAACATTCAAAGTAAGGTTTAGAAAAGATGTGATAACAATTAGAATAACATACTTAAGTTTAAAGAACATGGATAAAAAAAAATAGAGAACACGACATTCAAACTGAATAAGCCAAAAAAAAAAAAAAAAACGACAAATAGTTTTGTTAATTTGTTAAGAATTTTGTTGAACTTGAAGTTTTAGGCTTAAATTGGAATATCATTGTAAATCATTCTTTGATTTTTCTACATTCAAATCAAGTTTTAGAACAAATGAAAGCAAAATTAAAACAAATTACTAAAGTTTTAAGAACATTGACTCAGAAAGATTAAGAGCACGAAATTCAATAAAATAAGCTGAATTTGAAGAAACTTAATATATATTTTGATTAATTTATGATGAATTTTGTAGAATTTGAGCTTCAATTTTAGACCATGTTCTCTTCACTCTTCAACAGATATATATTTACTGTTACTGAACCTAAATTATTTAAATTGAAATTAAATTATTTTACTTACCGATTAAAACTAACTTATACAAATTGGTTATTACATTTGTTCAATACAGTTACATAATTTAACTGATTAAAACTTATTTTTCCTGAAGTTAACTTATTTTTACTAAACTTAACTTATCCTATCTATACTTTACTGAATATTATTAACTTAAGGTGAAGAGATTAAAACCTTAGAAGGAATTTTTATAAGGAGAGAAGATGAATATCCTTAAGGTAAGAAAATTAGACTTATAAAGCACAGAGAAAAAAATAAATTGAATCACTACATATATAATTCGAGGTTGAATTATTGAAATTTTAAAATAAATTAATAAAATTCAAGCTTGAATCCTTCATTGGAGTCTAAATGAGGAGAAAATGAGTATTTTTATGTATAGAAAATGGGTTTTCTAGAGGAGAGAGAACCATTGAATTCTAACCTATTGGACTCAACCTTAACAGGTTAAGATTCAATAAGCTGTAAGGAAATAATTTGGGAAAAGGAGCAAAAAACTAAGAGTGGGGGGTTGTAACAATTAAAATGCCATCACTCACCGAATTGCTCTAAGGGTTTGGATCAAGATCTATGTACCACATGTGTTCTCATTACACACACACACCAAATATTAGCCTGGAAGGGATTTACGCATCACAATGCACCTTATTACCCTTATATGTCTTTTATTAATAAGAGAAAATATATGAAAGGATCATAATATGAAAGTCTATATATGGAGACAAAAAAAAAAAAGAAAAAAAAAACCTAACATGACTATATTCTCCATAAATAAAAATCAATATATGTGGTTAAAGAGGAGTGTGTGAATAGCATCACAAGTGCAAATGGTGATATATACGGTATTGTGTGTGTGTGTGTGTGTGTGCGTGTGTGTGTGTGTGTGTCGTGCGTGCGTGCACTAGCAAGGTACTCTTCATAACACAATTGACATTCAATTATGATTTCTTGACACATCATACGGAGAGGAGGAAAAAGGCAACACAAAAAAAATTAAAAATAAAAATAAATTAATTAAAATGGTATGGCATTTAAACCTTGCCAAGCAGTAAATCAACTGGCAGTTTGGCCAAATGATGCCCAAGGGGAGTTAGCTCTTCATTTTCATCGACAGCACCAACCTGAAGAATAGAAAACATTTTATCATCAGAATATGAACCACTGAAAGGCACACTTGAGAGAGAGAGAAAGAGAGGGCAGGAACATTTGCATTAAAGTGAGGATTTTAGGATGCTGAAAATAAGGTTGTTAACAAAAAATGTGTATGATAATTTTAAGAGGCTAATGGAGTAGGCATTAACAATAATGGGTGTCAAAGGCATTTGTGTGCCTTAATTCGTAACCATATTGCATTTACTTGTTTATCATCTTTGGGAGAAATAAACATAAGATGGTTGTTTGTAAATTCAGCTGGCTTGGAGATTCTTAGGATGGTTATAAGGAAATGACAAGGGACATCGAAGTATTACCACTGACAGTATCTGAAATAGAGTTTTAGTGTAGCTTCCTTTAGCGGAAACTGTCTTTTAAGTGATGAGATAGATAACGCTGAGCAACTTAAATTGACTATTTCAGTGCCTTTATGACAGAATTATGGGAACTTGGGAACCATGACTGACAAGCTATGACCTTACTATCGCTCCCTAGAAGACTCTTGTCCTCAATTGTGTTGTAACTAATTCCTTTTTAAATTTTAATGATGCATTCATTTTACTCAAAGTTAAAGATGTACGCTCTGGGCTTATCTTAAATAGTGAACCTTGGCACTAGCCATTGTGTCTAAGTTTAAAAGAAAACAACTGCTAAATTATTGTGGGTAGACAGCTTATCCATACTAACAAGACTTTTCATATATGAATTCTTGAATAGCTGACACATCTAACAATTTCATGGCAGAAGAATGAAAAGCGATAAATTTATAAAAAAAAAAAATAAAAAAAAAAAAATGTACTGAAATTTTTGCTCAGTTGCAAGGTAAGCAGGACAAAACTCAGTAGAATTTAAAAGCTCAAAGCACAAGATGCATGGCCTTGCGACTTGCTGCCTTGCCATTTATTTCAGGTTTTCTGTTAGAGGTGAATGGCAAGAATTTTATGTTCAAATTACAATCTTGTAATCCTATAAGCATAATAATTTTTCCAGCTGCCGCCTTGGTCTAATCTTAGGCTAAATCTAGTAGAAATGAAGAATGCCATAAATTTGATTCTCATACACAGATTTATGTTCTACAATATCTGAGGGCTCTTCAAAATCAAAACAGAAAATACCACAAAACCTGAATATTTGGAGCCAAGCAACACTACCTCTTTTAATGATGAGACTGCTGAATCTATAGCTTCATCCTTCGGCATTTCAATAGCCTAGAAGTAACAAAAATCAAAATCTTAAAATCATATATATATACCGAAAATAAATGCTCCTCTTTATATCAATGGTCAAGTGTCCCAGAATGCAGTCTATAGGTCACATATATAGTAAAAACAACTAAGTATCATGCTTCACCAACTTTAATTCTGAAAATCCTCGAGGTCATACCTTAGACAAAAAGAGTTTTATGTCACTAAGAGAAAGCAGCTTAATCTGCAGACACAATTCTACCAGTGGCATCCTAAGCATCTCAGGAACCTTCAGAATCAAGCAAGTTAGGGACATATTAGATGAGTTATCAAAGTACGGCATACAAAATGGACATGGCACATGGACTACAAAGATTAGTTCTGGCATTATGGTATACCTGGAAGGATCGCATCATTTTTTCAAATCTATGGCGCGTATACAAGCAAAAGCAAGTACCAGGTTTTACTCGTCCAGCTCTTCCTCGTCGTTGTTTTGCATTTGCTTGGGATATCCAATCTTCAACCATCATTGAGAGTTTCTAGAAGCAACCATGAGCAACTTAGACAATAATACCATTGACAAGTAAAAATAACTTAAATAAATAAATCAAACAGCCATCACATTTCATAAAGCTAAGAAGAATGATGGAAACCTTTCGTGGGTCATAACGGTACTCCTTGTGTTTACCAGAATCAACCACATACACCACGTCATCTATTGTCAAGCTTGTCTCTGCAATATTGGTTGCCATTATAATCTGCATGTGTAACAAAATAAATAATGCAGATGATATCAATTTAATCCGTATCCAAGAATAATCAAATAGTTCATCTTCTAAAAGGCTGGGGTGAAGGACTGAGGGGGGGTTTGCTGTTTCTCAACTTGGATAATGTCATCAAATAGTTACTGAAGTCTACACTAATGAGTCAGTTTCTTTATTATTTTGCAATATATAAAGAAGCTCATGGCGCCCTAAAGCGAGAGGGATTCTGCTGCGGCTAAGTGCACCACTTTGAAATTTGGCGCACTGTACAAACATTTAAATATTTTGAGTGAAGTACTCTGCAAAAGTACAATGTGCCTTGCCTAGAGCAAAAAAAGCGTTCTACACTAACTGCCTAGTCCCTCAACGCCTTAGGCGCAATTTTTAATGCACATTAACAAAGCATAACAAAGTCTTGCAAAGGAGGAAAAGGAAAGCAGATATACTTAATTCATATGATATGACCTCTACATATCATTTTTAAAATACAATAGTTCAAGAGATAAAAAAAAAATCCAAATTTCTCAATGAGATCTCGTAATTTTCATGTTAACCATAAAGACCATGCCATAATTTTCATGTTAAATATGGATGTCACATCCAGATCTCTAAGAAGTTACCCTTCCTTACCATACACATCACAAAACATAAAGATTCAGCTGCAGTGGTAGGACATAGAATTCTATGAACAAACACTTAAATTCTTTGTTGTTCCTATACAGCCATGGACCTTATACACCAAAAAGAAAAAAGTACACAACTGACATCTGATCCTAAAAAGAAAACATCGTTTAAAATACTAGCATACCTTACGCATGTTATTGGGAGGCTTCCGAAACACCTTTTTTTGGTCTGCTGCAGCAATAGATGAATGCAAAGGCAAAAGCCATTCAGATGATTCTCCACCAAAGCGGTAAGAAGCAGCGAGCTTATCATGTAACCTGTAAATTTCTGAAATACCCTACAATAACTCCAACCAAACATTCAATCAGTAACTACTAACTAGCACGATACACAATAATCTTTAAAAGCCTGAAAAAACAAAAAACAAAAAAAAAAAAAGAAGAAGAAAAAGAAAGAAAGAAATTAAAACTTACAGGCAAGAAAACAAGAATTGCGCCTTCACCACAATTTTCATCAATATGACACACCAAATCTTCAAGAAGATCATAATCAATTACATCTTCATTCAATTTTTTCTGCACAGAAACATAGTTGATTGAAATAAGAACAAAGAAGCATGACAAGCATGTAACTGACACCCCTGCACACCAGGATCAAATACTATACCAGATTCACTCTTGTTTGATCACTGTATGATTGATATGCACTGGGGTTATAGTGTGGGTTCATGCATTCTTCTGATAGAAGAGTTTCGTCGCCCATCGATGATAAGACAAGACTTTTCTTCCCTCTACGGTTGTCAATAGAACCTCCAACAATCTAAAGAAGAAACTAAAAATTATGTTATGACTTACACTTCTAAAAGATTCAGTATTTTGGAATCGTTAACTTTTTTTTTTTCCATAACATAAATCAAAAAGAAAATCCAGACTAACTCAGGTAAATTGTCCAAATTGCAAAGTTGACAATTGAAATTTAAGTAAAAAAAAAAGTCATTAAAACATTTTCTGTTCTCACAAAAAGAACAAATATTCCTATATCACAAATAGACATGAATTAGTATACAATAAAAGGATAAGGGAGACCTCCATGGAAATTATTAGATAAAATAATTGGGCATCATGCTATGCATAACTAAGAAGCAACCTCGAATATATCCCCATAGAGTGCATTAAAGGGACACAAGTTACACAACTCTATCCACATATCCACCTGACACACCAACTGTATTCTGGAAATAGAAAAAAAGTAATCATTCTTTCTAACTAATAAACTTAAAATGACTAAAATCAATCATGAATAGTATAACATCTCTTTAATTCACCCAAAACTCACATTACATGACTCAGATGTGAAAAAATAGACCTAACTTCGTTTTTTCTTATACATCAATGGGAATTCATGATCAAAGTTGATGAGCTTTAACTTCAAAAATGGTGGAGTGAACAACTAGGGATGGAGTGGTTATCAATGTCCTTATCCTAAGACAGCACTATCTACAAATTAATAAGACAACTCAGACCATGGTGCTTTTCTCAATACAATAAACAGCCATTATAAATAGGAGTTGGTAACTTATTAGCAAACATAAGAATATTTGACCACATCCCACCCCAAAAACAAATCTTTGCTTCTTTAAGTTGAACCAAAATCCATAGATGCAATAGCCCCACAGAATTTTGAAGGTTTAACCTAGAACAAAACGAAACACTTTAAAGATCTTTATTTAGTTTCTCTAATTGCTCAAAACCTTATTAGAGTCCGGGATATGACCTTGATTTTCTTTCCTTTTGCTGGGATCTTATTATATTTCATTGTGATTTTGTTTCACTAACAAAGATCTTCTACAATTTAGACCAATTGTACAGCTCTATAAGTTCCAGCGGTCTACCACCACTAATTTCCAGCAAATTGACTTAAATGGCTAAACTCAACCTACGGTTGTCAAATTCGACCTGATGTTTCAGTTCTGAAACTTCAAAGACAAAAATTCAACCACTAAGCTAGATCTAAATTCAACCACCTACTTCAAAGCGGGTTGAATTTTTCTTAGTTAATTCTGTCTCTCCTCTTATTGGTGTTAATGTTTGACTCTTGATTTTTTTATTTAATTTTTTTTCTTCTGCCATTCTCGAATTTACACTCCTGTCTAGCTAGATCAGTGCAATGGTTGTGAAGGAGGAAAGGATACTTTTTTAGTTAATTTGAAACTGATGGAGGCAATGGTGGATGTGGCCATGGCAGTGGATTCTATATTAGTGGAGGATGTGGTTTTGGAAGTTGATGGGGTGGATTTATTTATTAACAGCGATGAGTTTATGGGAGTGGTTGGGTGATTAGAAAAATTAATCAATGAGTTAGTCATGTGGGACTAGTTAACAGTGTTTTTCATAATTGTGTGATAAAGTTTGTGTTGCACCTAAATAATAACATGGGGGATATATTATGTAGATGAAAAAATAAAAAAACAAAACTGTCATATACGAGTTAGATTCAAGTGCACAAGACTATACACTAAATGAATTTTAATTGTATTGGCTACAATCAATTAGAAAGAAAAACGAGACAGATTCCAATAAAGCAAGCCAGCTGAATCCATTAAACATAATCATAAAGGAAGCTTTCCTGTCATGCAACCAGCACATAAACTCATCAATTTCAGGTTTACCCAAATCAATGAATCTACGTCCTGCTCAATAGGTAATCCACAAAAAAGAGATGATAAATGTATTACATGCATTCCTTCATGCAACATTCTGAGGTTGTCTAGTCAGTACTTATTTTCTCAATAATATATATATTTGATATTTGAGCTTTGTACTTGCTCAAAGATGATTCTTTACTTAGTATTTTAGCCTATAAAAAAAATACCAAAGTTATAAGAACAACAAAAGGGAAAAAAGAATAATAGCATGTAAGTAAAAGATCAACCAACTTAAATATTGGCAGGAACCCGAAACAGATATGATTATAACTAAAAATTACCTCATGGCCAGATGTCTTAAAACCTAAACAGGCTGGGGAATCCGACGGAAGATGGTAGTCAGTTTTTTCATATACATCTTCGAGAAAAAAAGTTGACACAGGATAAGTTCGACCTTCAGCAGTAATCACTGGGCAGTCACCAAAATATCTTGAAAACAAACTTGAATCAACTGTTGCAGACCTGAATGTTGTGCACTTGTAAGTTAGACAGAAAAAGTAATAGAAAAGGAAGAGTCCATAAGTCCAAAACATGTTCAGAATGATCTCTTACATGAGTATAACTTTTAAATGTTTGGGTGCGCCACATGCAGCTTGCTTTTCCAAAAAGTTTTTCAAGACAATAATTAGGAAATCACCCTGTTTATGTCACAAGTCACAATGAAATATGATCAGCATGACCTAATATCACTTCAGTTATTGCTGAGTGCAGACATCCAAAAGCTAAAAAGTATGTAGAGATACAAATCAACAAATTCATCAAGCTTTGAAAATGCAGTATTTTTTAAATGACTTGAGGGACCTAAGGGATACAGTTCCTTGTGACAATTCATGTTAGCTGACCCTAAATCATTTTGGGACTAAGACTTTGTTATTATTGTTGTTGTTGAGGGACCTAAGGAAGACATGGTGGTTTCAAAAAGTTCGTTTCACAGGTGCTACCTATTGAGGTTTAAGGTAGGAGATGGCCCAAGTATTCTTTTTTCTGCGAGGATGTTTGAAAAGTGGAGCAATCTTTCTCTGCTCAATTCCCTTAATAAGGTGATCAATGTCCATGATCACTTGTTCTAAATGTGATAATGTTTGGGATTTACAGTTTTAAACATCACCACTGCCACCATGTGACAGGCAATTGTAAAGGAGCTCACTTCTTTACTAGAGGTACTGAAGCTTGATTTTAAGTTGCTTCAGGATCGGTTTCTTGTAAATCTATCGAAGTTGCTTGATTTAACTCCCTCAGTTTCTAGTAGCAAAATCCATTTGGATAGGGTTCCTCTCAAGGTCAGGGCTTTTGTGTGGACTTTGGCGTTGGGGATGATCAATACTAATGAAATGCTCCAAATGCATGGGCTAGGTTTAATTTCTCAATGGATAACTACTTGCTTTGTTATGCTAATAGGAAGCATTGTTCACAAGTTTTCACTCTGAAGTGGCAAGAAGCCTATGGAGGAGGTTGTTGAACAAGCATGAGGAATCCTGGGTTTTTCGTTTAAATGTTATGGATTGGTTGCAGATTTATAATAGGGTGTTTGGTAAAACAAGGAGAAAAGGTGATGGCGCAGTGCTTTCATGGTGATTTTATGTGGTGTGTGGTTGGAGGCTTGGAGAAAAACCCCCGGGTCTTCTTACATGTTTCATATTCTTCTGATTTGTTTCAGGACAATGTCACTTATTTTGTGACTACATTCTGAAATTGTCACGATGATGCTGCTAATTCATGAAATAACTGCTTGTGTTCTAGTTTTTAGAAAATTGGAGAATTTGCCTATACGAAGGGGTCATTTCGTTAAACAATCTGGTAGAAAATAGATTGGGAGCCCATACCGGTGGTATGGATTGGGAAACCCATTACATGCTAAATTAGTTTGGTCTGAAACTGGAATGGATTAGCACTTAGTCAGGGTTTGTATATAAGTTTGAATGGGTTTAGAATCTTGAGGGGGAGATTTGTATGATATTGTAGAGAGTTGGAAATCGGAATGGATTTAGATACTGCTGGTATGAGGTTCCGTAGCCAAAAAAAATAAAATAAAATAAAATAAGACCAGTTAAACGTTGCAATGCATTCTACTCCATTCCAATACATTCCAAAAGGTCCAACGAAAACTCTTAAGTAGATTCTGACGATATTTAAAATAGTTTTAATGATGTGTAAAAGGAATAGGTTTTGCAACATACAGCAGAGAAAAGAATACATAGAACTCTTGTATTAGGAAGCTGATAAAACGCAGGTAGGGTAAATAAATATTCCGTATAAATAATAGAAAATAAACAATATCATGGAAACTGCTTTGTTAACTGAGCCAAACTCTCCATGATCATAATTATAAAAATTGACGACTCACCAATAATGAGCGCTCATGCACCTCATCAACAATAACATGAGTAACACCATGAAAGCTCTTGTTCCCCTATAAAAGAAATAAACATGTATATTTATATAAAAATAAACAATTAAGTTATCATATCCAAAAGCTTGTACAGATAAATGTCTAAAACATTCAAGAAGCAATGCCATGTATTAGCTACACCGTACAAAAACTTCCAATTTTGAACTGAGTATCAGTTTGACACTTCACAGAAGTTGAAGAGATGAACAAAGGAAAGAAAAAAACAAATATACAACAAATAATACATGGATTTAGATGAATATGATGAGACACTCAAGAGATCAAAATATATTAAAGAGAGAGCAAGTTTTGTCATTGAATGATAATGCAGTTCCGTTTAAGACAAGAAACCAAACCCCAAGGCAATAAATATGTACTGTGGAATAACTGCAAGAACACATTCACTCAAAACAACCTTTTTGGCTTTCAAACAAAGAGTTTTAACCAAGGATCATGGTTAGCAACTCTTTTTTGGCTGAATAACTGCAAGAATACATTTACTCATAACAGTCTAATTGGCTTTCAAGCAAAGACTTTTAACCAAGGATCATGGTTAGCTTTGGCATAACTATTGCTTGTAATGGCGATTTATTTTAAACAGCTTCAGAGGTTCGTTAGCAAAACTTTTTGGCTGCTTCAACTTAAGGTGCTGCTGTGAAATGTGCAAAGTTTCTAGGTAGCTTACATGAGATTAGGCAAGTGGAAAAGGCCACATGACAATGATAAAATAAAGAGACTTAATAGACAGTTTGGCTATACTACTGCTTACTCCTACACTAATCACTTGTCGAGGGAGAAGACTGTTTGCATTTTCCAGCACACATGAAGACGTGCTCAGCAGATTGAGCAATTATATTAGACATTTAGACAATAATGCTAAAATCAGGCATGCAAAAAAGTGTTTATCTCACTTGTTTGCCTTGCCATAGGCAGTTTGTCTCACCCTGGATATGTGAGGATGTGTTGGAAATAATTTTGTCTTGGTGCTAATGGTAAGTCCTCAAAAGCACTTAATACCCAGTCATAAATTCATAATATGAAATAGAGGAAGCAACTAAAAATGTGAGAAACAAAAATATTTTCAAATTCAGCATAACGTCATGCTATATAATTATAAGTTTTATGCATATAACATGTATATCAGTAACCCCCATACCGCAATTTGCCGTAAAAGAATACCAGTTGTACAGAAAAGGAGTTTGGTTTGATCATTCCTGCAAGAAACGAAATGAACAATAAAATAAAAAAATAAAATAGGATCGACGATATATGGAATAAAAAAAATTAAAAAAAAAAAAAAAAAAAACAAACAAACAATTATAACCAATAAATTAGAACACAAATTACTGCAAATGTCTAGTCCAATAAAAGTAGGGGATGATAGATACTTCATCCATTCAAAAAAATTGCAGTGTTGACCTTTTTAAGAATTTTCAAATATATTGCAACATACCATTTGAAGAAATTTCATGCAGCAAATACCCAATATACCCTTACTAATATTTACAAGTTTTAATCTCGCTTGGGTTTTCTATGTAATTCACGTGATTAATGTGGTTTTCTCTTTCACCCTTATCTCACTTTGTTAATTCTTGTGCATCCCACCACACCTTTCCTTTCCCTCAATGTTGCAATATTTTGAACATGGGAAATTTATAAATATAAACATGAAAATGAAAGTTGGAAGAATCAAGAAGAAAGAATACACCTATACAATTTTTATATCTACCAGGAACCAGAAGCGCAGCTGCACAAACTAGTATATTGTTACACCTTTACATGACGAACATACTAACTCTGAAGTGAATGACATTACTAAAATTTGTTCCCTAAAAAAAAAAATTTGAACAGCATTCAGATCAATAGAACTGCCGCCCTATGACATTTGTTTTCTTTTTCTTTTGTATTTAGCAAGTAAGAAAGGAAAGGAAGGGGAGGGAAAGAGGAGGAAGGGAAGGGTAAAGAAAGGGAGGGAAGGAAGGAAAAAGAAAGGGAGGGGGAGGTGAGATCCATTGTCCCTTCCTCTCTCCAATTATGGAGGGATTATGCTTATTAAAGAAAGAGGGAAAATGGATCCCTCCTCTCCTTCCCCTTCCTTCCCCCAATCCTTTACCCAAACAAGAGAGTTTGTCCCCCTCCCTTTCTCTTCCCTTCTTTTCCTTCCATCTTCTTCTATCCAAACAAAGTATTCTTAGCCGAAGTCCACTAATCAACTCTATTTTACAAAATTTCATACATCCTCTACATGTGACCTTAAGAACCAGGGTAAGATCCTCGGCACTTTAATGTAAGTAGGGATAATTGGCTGTTAATTTTAGACTATATACCTAGAAACATTTTTGAAACACTTACACACTTGCAAAAGGGTTGAGGTGCAAAAGAAATCGATGATTTCTGAACTTCTAACATACTCCTATTGGAAAAAAGTTGTCCTGAATAAAACAGTTTTTGAAAGAAAAGTTAAAAAAGAAAAAGGTTTTCTAATAACTGCAAAGTCAAGTAACTCCTAGAAACCCACCTACCCTAGTCATAAGAGGATTAAATATACTCTGAAGTGGACTGAAAAGAGCTTACTAATCTAGTTCTAATTAAATCCGCCACATAATTTCCATAAAAGTATTGTGCCACAAACTATTACTTGGCCCTACAAACATCACAGCAGCTCCAAAACAATGAAGGGCCAACTGGCCAATCAAAAGTCCTATCACATAAAGCAAAGAACTTCGTCCAAGAGTTATTACCCGATGCAAGATCATACAATGTACATATAGCAAGATTAGATGAGGGAAATGGGAAAAGATTACTCTGCTGTCCATACAACCTCCAAGCATTATCCTTAGATGGCAACTAATAACATGAATTCAACCTTCATTGTATATTATTGAATACTTCAATTTGAACATAGCCATTATTCAGAAGCTTAGTTCATAAGCTTAGTTCACGGCCATATAGTTCACCTCATAAGTTATAAGATGGATCTACGTTATTTGTACACTTCATAGCACTTCTACTAGAGTCAAACAGTCAAACATCGGTTTGGGATCTCAACAATTTATTTTGTACCAAATATACTAACAATAATCAATTAATCAGAAATTAGCAGAACACTTGGACATGTATCTTCATTTTCCTTGTTAAAACATTCAAGATAGAAGAATGATTATAAATTCTTTATTACTTCGAAATATCGAAAGAAACAATTATAGGTATTAACCCTGACAAATCTATGCGAAAGATAGGGAAACGGGAACCTTGCACTATCCAGCCGAACTTGGTAACCAACTAATGATCCATTTACACCAGGTGCAGGTTCACATCTCTCATCGGCCACCCTTTCAGCAACAGAAATAGCCTGAAATAAAACACAAACAACAAATCTTATATACAGCAATGATGCATCATACATTACCCCGCACTAGTTAAAAAAGGTTATAATAAAGTAACAAATCTAATCCTAAACAAACTTTAGTATCCCAATCAAAATCAAGATTTTTGAGTTAAGCAAGGCTAGAGAAAATCTGTGATAGGGCTGTTAGGTTGGAAGTAATTCGGAAAGAGAAAGGTAAATTAAACCACTAATTCCCTAAGTGTGTGTTTGGTCAGTGTTTTTTCCATTTTCCGTTACACTCATTTAATCTTTGGAATTCCCCTGACTATATATTTCTTCATTCCCACCTCCCCTCCGGGACTTGAACACCAGCCACCACTTAGTCTAGCCATCAAGAAACACCACCTTAGCCATCAAAATTCCAATAAACACCCACAAGAGAAGTCTCCCAACAACTAACACCACTATATATCAACCTAACCACATATTTAGGCCCTACTTACATTTCATAACATTATAAGTTTAGTTTATATGTTAAAAGTTACCAGTTATCCGCAGCGGATTATACATTATAAGAAGGATGACCAAAATTTAAAAATTTATACAAAAGTTCAACGCTGTTTGGTCAGATTGTCTGACCCGAGAATTTTTTTTCTTAAGGAACACTGATTTTATTAAAGGAGGCACTTGGGGTGCTCTAAAAACACACCCAATTGTTCCCTGTCATGGTAAAGAACTACGCATGAAAAGGGTGCCAACCAAAAATGCAAGAAAATATGGCTTAGATTCTCCTCAGCACCACCATACAAGACACTCATTACAGGAGACAGGCACTTACTGCTATTCTTCGTGGCTGTGTACATACAATGTTGCAATGCCCACCACGACCAGCCACAATCATGTCATCCAGTATATATTGTGGAACCTACAATTATACCAGATAGGTTATAATTATCATGCTGATAAGACAAAAAACAACCAGCAGATTCATACATCAAGATGCGTCAGCTTATGAGAGAAGGATATGAGGATTCACGATTCACTGAATTTCAAAAACAATATGCCAGATGTATCAGCTTCAGTTACCTGAGTAGTCTTCCCAGATCCTGTTTCCCCACAAACAACGACGACATTATTTTGCTTCAACGATCGCAATATCTCATCTTTTGTTTTAGCTATAGGAAGTGCTGTTCTGGCTTCCAACATGCTCTGCAAGCAAAGAACAAAGAGCCTTATCATGCTAAATCATCTGAGGACGCAATCCATGCATGTTAGCGGCAAAAAATTGCTGAAGTCTACAGTCTTTTACAAGCATTGACGGAAATGTAATAACCTATCAGATAATTACAAGCTCATATAGCACATAATTAAATTAGTCAAAAGTTGACATTTTTACTATTATATATATATATATATATATATATATATATATATATATATATATATATATATATATATATACACACACATATATATATATATACACATACACGTATATATTTACATACATACATATATATATATATATATAGTAGTCAATTATACGACACAAACCTTGTATCTTGGTGACTTCTGTTTGTTTTCTAGTTCTTCTCTTAAGAAGAAACTTTCCTTTTCTTTCAAAGGGTTATTGCCTGCAAAATGCATTAAACAACCCAATAACTATAAATAGAAATCTTTGCAGACTGCTTTAAGATACAAAATGAGGTAATATTGACCTTCACAAATAAATGAAATATAAAAGAATTTTCTGGGGAAGGGGAATACATATTCAATCCATTATTTGGGGTTAGACTGTTTACAGTCCTTAGAGATGTACACATATAAATCTCAAAAAGTATTTTTGGATATAGTTATGATGGAATTCAAATTTTTAGTTTACTGCCCAACAGCCTGACATCCCAGCTAGTTCAAATATGAATTTGACATAAACAGAAGTCAGACCTGCCCCAGTTGAAAATCACATTATAATGTTATGTTTCAGTTTCACAATGTTACCTTAAGACTGCTATCAACCACACAAGCATATAGGTGGAATTCAGTCCAAGAACCTTTACCCAATATGAGTTGATTGTGGATTTAGTTGTTTATGTTTTCTCAAAGCACCTTTTAAACATAACTTCTTGTATTTGATAAAGTCAAGATGATTTGTAAAATTGACTTTTACCGTGAGACATACAAGATGCTGCTTCTAGTAGACTCCCTACAGCTTCTACAGAACTACACTATACATTTTCTTTCTCATGGCTTGCGTTTGTAGAGTTTCGAGGATGGCTTTTGGTTCTGCTGCTTAAATTTTTAAATACATCATCTGAAGCTATTTTTCTATCTCGTAATGAGCATCAACTATAATGCAAATTAATCAGAGTGGCTACCAATTACACATAAAGTTCTCATACTCTGAAGACTTGCAGCAGCAGATTGTTCATCAAACATATCAGAAACCTTGTTCTGACTGGAATTATCACCAACATCGGCTGAACTAATCCCTACTGAAGAATCCGCATTTAACAATGATTCCACAAAAGCAGCCCTTCGATCTTCCATAGAGTCTTCAATCACGTCTGACAAATCCCCTGATAGCACAAGCATTTGAGAAATATAATGATACATAGAACTACCATCAGTACATTCCAAAGTTCACAACACTTACCTTCCTGCCATTTTACAACCAGCGAAGCATATGGCTCTGTAATCAGAAACCGAACAGGTATATCAGGAAACAAGCGGCAAAGGGAAAAAGCAGCTACTCTATTCTGCGCTTCCTGGAACAATAAAACAATAAAAGAGACACTGCTCAACTCATACACTAGTTGAGTTCTCTGATGATTGAATCCGAATCTTGTTTACTACTTTACCACAAAGATTAGGCATAAAACACAATATAAACTTAATGTCAAGAATGCAAGTGTGAACATATACAAGTACATATAGGAGACTTTTTCAAAAAGCTCAAGGTGTGCCACGTAAAATATCTTGTCAAATATATTAACTTATGATGAAATATTGCTTTACAGGTACTAACAATAAAAATAGATACTCTGTATTTTTAATAAGATTATTGTCATCCAAATCTATAGCAAATTACTTGTAGATGAAAATATCCTCACTCTTCACAAAACAGTTATGATAAATGTGAATCCCCCCCCCCCCCGGCATGATATATGTGAACCCCCCTGGCCTTATTGTTTGGTTGCTTGTTACTTATATAGGTTAGTTTGATCATCTCACTATCCTTATAGATCCATTGAAGACTGATTCATATTTAAACAGACCAAGCAGTAGTAACGCAAAGTAATGTCGTTAAGAAAAAATAAAGGGTGAGTTGTATCTTATCGTCAGCTTGACATTTCCAACATCTGTCCTTTTTGTAATTCCCATGTTGAAACACAATAGCACTTGTTTCTCAGTTGCGCTTCTACTCTGATCTCTGGAACTCTACTTATGCTACCGATCAGGTAGGTTTCAGTAACCTCCATCACTCTTTAACTGAGTTTTTTTGCACTTTGAAAATTAATTTAGTTTGCAATATTTCTAAAATAGTACTCTTTTTATGGAGTACATGGAAAACTAGAATTAATATCATATTTAAAATAGTAACATCAACTTAATTAATAGACGCATCAGAAGTTTTTCTGCATGTAAGGAATGGCAATCTGTGTCCCTTCTCGATTCTATGGATACTAGATCTACTTTGACTCCTATTTTCCGTACACAAACTATTAAAAAATTGGGTGTACAATAAATATTGTACACCAAAGGTACAATTACCCTAAAATACTCAACAGTAACCATAGTATCAAAATAAAAGTTACTTATGTTTTACAGATAATGTTACCCTCTTTACAAAAAAATTGCACTATAAAAATTATTCCTAATGCATAAAAATAACCATATTACCTATTATAAAATTTATCCCTAAGAAAAAACCTTCCAAGTTATTATACAGAGTAAAAGATTATAACATATTATAGTTACCCTAAGCTAGGTTTAAAGTTATCCCAAACTGGTTAAAAGTTACCCTAAACTAACCGATGTAAAGTACAATTTATGCAACCTTTCAAATTTTGTCAGCAAGTCTCTCCCTCCTACTTGTTATTGTAAACTTAATTTTGACGAATTTTTTATTCATAATGCTGCAAGAATAGTTATTAAAGATCATATGGGGAACCATATAGCCAATGGAGCTTATAGCTTTTTCTGAAAAGATCATCACAATTCGTCATAGTCTTCTGTTAGCCCATTCTCGTAATATTCCAATTTTTTTTAGGAAAAATTGAAAAGACTAATCCCACCTTTGGCACTTCTGCTCAAAGCAATCCCACCTTTACCCTTTATCTGCTCAAAACAGTCCCTTGACCGGTTTATTAAGTTGGTAACCGGTTGAAGAAGGTGACTTGCCACTTGTCACAGTTTAATTGGTCTTTTTTAAAATTAAAAAAAAAAAACCCCACTCTGTGCCGAACAGTAGTCACCCTTCTCTTTCTCGCAAATTCTATGGTGGAGGTGGGTTTCGAGGTCGGGTGGGGTTAGGCAAGGGAGTGACGAAAAGGGAGTGACGGAATGATTGAGTTAAGAGGTGGTGTGGATTTTTCAGAGGAGGTGGTTTTTGCGTGAGTGAGGGTTTTGGGGTGGGGTTTTGGTTTAGTGGTGGGGGTAGGGTTTTGGTTTAGTGGTGGGGGTGGGTTTCCGGTTCAGGGGTAGGTGGGGTTCGAGGTGGGGAATTGGTGGGGTTAGGGGTTTCGGAGTGAGGTTAAGTTCGGTTCAAGGGTGGGGGTCAGTTTGCTTCAGGGGTGTCGGGATGGAGCCGTGGAGGTTCGGTAGGGTGGGTCAGCTGGGTTTGGGATCTTGGGGTGGTGATGTGGTGGTCATCAAGTTGTGGTTAAGGAGGGGTGTGTTGCCATGGAAGAGGGTGCTGAGGTGGGACGCGAGAGATTAAAGGAAAAAAATTTGAGAATATGGGTGTAAAAGATGGGATTGTTTTGAGCAAAAGTGTCACAGGGATTATTCATTTCAATTTTTCCTTTTTTTTATCGAGGGTGATAATCTAACAATAATTAGTTACACGACAATTTCAGCTGTCCTTATGACATTAATAATTCTACAGTCGTTAGCATAAGATCGGCAGTAGATTATGACATTATGTAGCTTCCTTTGGTTACTAAATAACTTTAATAAGAACTGAGGAACAATAAGGAACAATATTCCCGTAAACCACTCGGTACTAAACCATCAATCAAGCAATCAATCAAAGCCTTTTTCATCCCATAAGTGGAGTCGGCTACATGAACCAAATCTGATTATTCCGTGTAGTCATCCACAAAAATCTTCCTCCTCCATCCCTTACGATCCAATGCTTCATCCTCATGCAAATCCATACACTTCATATCCTTCCTAGCTCCTTCCAACCAAGTCATTTTCAATCTCCCTCTCCCTCGTTTAACCCCTCCATGGTCTCACTCTTCCACTCTTCGAACCAGTGCACCCTCGAGTCTCCGTCTTACATGCACAAACCAACGCAGGCGATTCTCCCTTACTTTATCTGCAATGCCTGCCACACCTACTTTCTTGCGAATAACATCATTTCTGATTCTATCTCTTGGAGTGTTCCCGCACATCTACCTTATGCGCATTTTTGTAACCTCCACCTTTTTAATGTGCTCCTTCTTAGAAGCCCAACATTCTGTACCATAAAGCAACACTGATCTTATGGCAGTCTTGTAGAATTTTCCCTTCAACTGTAAGGGAATGCTTCAGTCACATAAAAGTCCCGTTGCCGCTCTCCATTTAAGCCACCCCGACTTAATCTTATGGGCCACGTCTTGATCAATGTCACCATTTTTTTGGATGATCGACCCAAGATACTTAAAACATTCACTCATGGTCAATTCCTTTCCATCCAAACTCACCACTTCATCACTTGTCCCCCTCTGAGTACCAAAGCAACATACCAAAGTGAACATGATGTCCAACTCCGTTCCTAGCTCCTCCATTCGTGGTCTTGTGGATCCTTCTCCTGCCCACCTTGTCTCTTGGAGGCATATGATGTTTACAAGTCTTCTCTTCATCACTTCTACCACTTCTGCTGATTTCCCCGTAAGAGACCCCACATTCCGAGAACCAATTCGCAAACTAGAGTCCTTTCTCCCACGCTCCCTCATACCACGCGGACTCGTACCATGCTCCTTCCTGTCCCCCAACTGCAAGCCCTTGATCATTTGACACCACACTTGGGCAATGTGGCGCGTTGCCTCCACGCGACGACCTAGCAACCCTTGCATACTTATCACTGCACCGGGGTCGGTACTAAACCATGCTAAAAAAAAAAAAAAGGAATGCCACATAACATTTAAAGGCAAAAGCATTGAACCTACACCACACAAAGCCCCAAGAAGCAAACAAAAAAAGTCCTATATTGGAATCTTATGATTTCTTGCGAGCCACATAATCCACAAAAGAGTCGAGCAATTAATTAATCATATTGGTATAAAAAGTTAGCACCCTTGTGACATATTGGTATATAAGTTATCGTCGGCGACATATTGGTATAAAAGTTAGCAAGTGGCAACAAATTAGTATAAAAGTTAACAAGTGGTGACATATTGATATATTGGTATAAAAGTTAGTGAGTGGCGACATTTAACCCTTTTTTTCTATCCGGAATAAGCGCATATAGTACACATCATTATTCTTAATTTTGTAACTTTACTGCAATGTTTTTCTTTACTTTTCTCTTCTTTATATATTTATTGAATATTTCTTGGACTCTATTAGAAAAAAAAAAAAAAAAGAAATCAGAGAATAATAGAAGAAAATTCAAGATCATGCATACGAATTATAAGTTCGGAATTACATCGAGCTTTCATTTTTTGGCAATATATAATAGTGTACAAATGAATTTGCTCCCATTTTCTTAAAAAATTAGAATTACAAGTCAATTTCAACTTGTTTTGAGACATAAAATCCAAGGAATTTCTCTTTTCTTTCAATTTTGAGATTTTAAAATGTTACCCGTACAATTTTTTTTGTTATTATATTTCAATAATCTTAGGTTTATGGGCATGGACGGATGAAGTAATTCGCATTAAATAAGTATTAACAACAACAACAATTGAAAAAGTTAAAACAAAAATAAAATTAAAGTGATACGTTAAGAAAAAAATGGTTTAATTGTCAACTTTTATACCAATTTATCGCAACTTGTTAACTTTTTTACCAAATTTCGCAACTTGTTAATTTTTATACCAATTTGTGGCCGGTAATAATTTTTATATCAATGTGTCGCTAATGTGCTAACTTTTATACCAATGTGGTCAATTGGCCCAAAAGAGTCATCAAGCCACTTTTAAGAGTCTTCCTCCCCTTTATTTCCTATGGCCAACATAAATTAATCTGGAGAAACACCAATATGGAAGAAAACACCCAAAACTACTTTTCTTTCCTTAAGGATAAGAAAAACGCAAAGTCCAAAACATCCTATTTTATCAAATTGTCAATGCCAAGGAAGGTAGCAAGTTTATGATCCTAGCAAGAAGGTCCACACTCAAAAATGCATTGAAGAAAACAGAATAAAGATGATGGTCTATAAAACACATATCATACAATAATTAGGAACTTGTTCCTCATTGTGAACATCAAATATATTATGCAGCCACAGACTTGAAAAAAGGACTAAAGTCAGTACCTCAGCAGATTCAAAAGTTTCATCCTGTCCAGGGAGCTGCAGTGTGATCAAACCACCAGCTTTACGGCTCTTACCCCTCCCAGTAGATTTACGCAAAACACTAACACTGTAATTAAAACCACTTCCTTTTTTACCCAATTTGTCAAATTTTGGAGGGTCCCAACCTGACCTTTGGCACAATTGATGAAGAACAGCTTTAGGAATCCTAGGTGGATCACCCTGTAATATGTAAATTTTATAGTCATATAACAATCATACAGGCGATACAGCTGTGATGAAAAACACAAAATTTAGAGGACGCACTGAAATATAACGAAGATAAATATTTTATTATGCATTGAAATTTATAAGTGAATCAAAGATCAAGACTACAAGTAAATGTTTCCTACTCTTTCTCTCTCCAATATCTTGCTGTACAATGTACTTAGCAGAAAAATCATTACTTGATTTTCCTTCTCACTTTCTTAAGTCAGGAAGTAGATTAAATTACTACTGTGATAACCTCTGTTACATTATTAAAGTTAGCCAAAAGAACATTTAATACCAGAAAAAAGGAAGATACAAAAGGAATTGCAGTCCAGCAAAGTCATGCTTGAAGAAGAAAAAAAGCATTACATCAAAACTAACAAACCAGGAAATAACCATGAGCATGATGAGCTGAAGCCAAAAGAACAATATCTGTTGTCAAATCACAAAGTACCTTTTTCCAGATGCCCTCCAATTTTTCCAAGTCTTTACTAGTTGGTAAACCTCTTGTTCTTGCTTTGTTTTGTTTCATCACGACTTCAGCAGTTAAGGCCGCATTACTTGAGTCACCTTCCATGAAAATGTTGCAAAGCTCAATATCTTCAGATTCCTCTTGTAGAGGTTCCACCTCATTGAAAGGAATGTTTTGTACTGTTGCCTCATCCCTGGAGCAATTCTCCATCCCCACTTTATCAAATAATGAATCAGCCATTGCTTCTATATTAGAATTGCCCTCCTTGTTGTATACAGAACAAGGTGCCTCCATTTTAGCAATATCAGACATGAACATATTCAATTCCCCTGGTTCAAAAATACAAGTCTTCTTAGATTGAATCATACTTGTCTAAAAACCCTGAAAGGAATTTCGTATACTCAAGATCAACCTAAATCAAAAATCTCCTGCTTCAGCAGGCGGATTTTATTGCTAGCTGCTTCTTGGCTTTTTTTGTCCTTTTTCTCCTTAGCAACAAAAGCTTCCAAACGTGCAGATTGGTACTCCTCAATAATTGTATCATATGACCTAGGTTCCTGTAATAGACATTGTTGTCATCATTTTTGAAAGCATTAGTAAGTACGAAATTGTTGTCATCATTATTCAAAGCATTAGTAAGTTAGTAACTACGGTATTGTTGTCATCATCTTTCAAAGCATTAGAACTACTGCTAGTGCTAGTCAGAAATAAATTTAAACCATATTCAAATGCATCATAATTCACAACTAGATATCTAAACAAAAAGAGCTATAATTCTCTTCCATTGCATGGGATGTTTAATTTCTGTATTTAAAATACCAATAAAAAAAAGACAACAATGACATAACAACAATCCTAGAAATTTCCTCTGTTCTTATAATATTGCAACATTTACCTCTATAGGAAGTTTCACAAAATTGCAACATACCCACTTTAGGAAAACGAGTATCTATCTTTGCACTGCAAATACCCTGGTCATCCTTACTTGTTACTTTTATTAATGCTTGCAATCACATTGACAAGTTTGTAATTTGCCTTTACCTCTCTTCCTTTTTTCCCACTACCTAAAATCTTGTGCACTTCCCCTATGTTACGATACTAGAAGAACAAAGGCAGTATAAAAGATAATGAAGCTCTCCTTATCAGCCTTAACTACTAAGGTATAGAACTTTAGATGATGGCAAGACAATGTTAATACCTTTTTGCAAGAATCTTCATCTGACAGCATATCTTCCCAATTTTCGGTTTCTATCTGCAAAGGCAATTAAACATTCAGATGCAAGAAAAACATATGGATAACTATATGTCATTTCTATCTGCAACGTGAGGCCATTTACGTTTTACTGGTCCATCCTCTACATAGATTAGCACATGATATTCACATAATTACCTTAAATTCATCGACAAATAACGAGGGGTGCCTACCAAAGCTTGATTCCTCCAAATATTTAGGCATCTACCAATAGCCCAACTACAAAAGGGAGTGAAAAAGGAAGTGCTTTCCTGATATTTTATTAAGAAATGGCAGGACAAAACAGTTTGTGCTCCCAACACCACCAACATCCTCCCGTCTTCCTCGAAATCCACTCTTTAAGCACTCCCTAATCCGTCATCTTTATCACCATTTCTCATCTTGTCAACAATAATTCCCTCCAACTTTGTACACCAATCAATATAATGCTCATAAACGTCCACATAAAAAAAATAAAAAAAAATAAAAAATAAAAAAAAAACAAATATTTAAAAAAAAAATTTACAAAAATGTAACAAAAATAACAGAATGTTTACCTTAGGCAAGAACAAGTACCATTCACAAGAAAGATGAAGCAAGCAATCGACCAAAAGTTAACCAAAATTAAAGAAAATAAAGGGACGGAACTAAATATGTCAAAGATTGACCCAACCCAAAAAACCGACCCATTTTTTGGGTTTTGAACACATTTTATCAACCTGAAACCCATTTTAACCAGAACACACCCGCACAAAAGCAAATCAAAAGGTTTTGGGGCTAGGTTATCCGTTGAGGTTAAAGGAATTTTTTTTAATAAATATCAAGTAAGCAGTAACTTAAACGGGAAAATGCAAATCCTATTTATACTATTGAAGTTAATCGCCTCCCATTTCTTTCATTCTTACTCATCTCTCACTGGACTTCCTCGGTTGCCAGAAATGACTCCAAAATGAAGAGTTGCACAACCGGCGTTAATCCAACAAAAGTTGCTTAAAAGTTGGAAATTGACAGCCTTTGTTGCTTAACAGTTGAAATAATAAGGTGCAAACAGAGTTTGAAATGTCTAAAATGTATAATATTAGGCGAAAAAATTAAATAATATAAGTACTTATAAACCCATTGGGTTAACTCGAGCCAAACTTTGAGTTAGGGTCTTGTATGTTTCAACACATAACCCGACCCAAAATAACCTATGACCCGAGATGACTTGACCCTAACTCAACCTGACAAACCCAACTGACAGGTCCAATCCAGACACAACACTAAATACTCTATTAGCATGAAAGAAAGCTAAATACACCACTCGTTTTGACAAAGTAGCTGAAGAAAATTCTCAACCATGGATATTCTTACCATTTGTCTTCAATGGAAACCTTTCACCTTTCTAACCGATATATTTTGTAAATGACCTCAAAATGTAGAAGGGTTCATTAAATGTATACCAACCAAACTAAATAACTCTATCAAAACAAACAAATATTTTGATATGAAAAAATATTGTACTTTAACTACAAATAGACTAACTTGGGAAATAGAATCACAAAGTACAAGAGGACAAAGAGTCCCCACAAAGAGACCTTGGGAATGTGTTATTTGGAAAGCCCTTGGTACCTTAGCACATTATGAAACAAACACAGTTTCTTTATCATACAATAGATCATGTGAGATGGCAACACCATTAAAATACAGCCATTTCGCTCCAGCCAGACACACCATATAAAAACAACCTCTCATAAAAATATTGTCACATGACAATGCAAAACAAATGATAACGTGTGCTCACTAGCAAAACATAAAGTGCATTCCTAAGGGAATAGCCTAGTATGATCGACCTTATGTATTGAGATTCCCCAAACTAGTAACCAAGACAAAAGCTTTTACCAAGACAAAAGCTTTTACCCACTTCAGAACCTTAGCCTTGCAAATACATGTTTTAAGAGAGCAAATATGGGAAGGGAAATTACAAAATACAGAAAAATCAAACTAAAATTGCTCTTTTAGTAAAGAAACTTCAATTTGTGGAGAAGAAAAAGTAAGGCATTGGAAAACTAGGTTGCATACACTTGACTTCCTCAATCAAGGGAAATTAGGAGATCATTACGGTTGTGATTATGTGAAAAAAATTACAGGTACAATTGGTTCAGAGAGAGAGAATGTAAACAATTGTATAAGCTCCAAAGAATACACAAGCACAATAATAATTTTTTAAACAAAAACATATAAAAATTTCCTGTTTTTGATGCCATTTAAGAAAACCTACTATGTTTCAAGCCAAGTGGAGCTTATCATATTCAATAAAGAGTTAAATTAGGGGAAACGTGATCTTTTCACTACTTTTCTTTATTAGTCCTAGATCTTAAAATGACAAATATACAAAAAAGATGGCAACAGTCTACCTCTTCCTCTTTTTCCATGTATTGACGAATCCAATCAGCTTGAGATGGCTCATGTAAAGCTAAGGAGTTATCATCGCAACGACCTCTAGTTATGACAGAAAATTTATGCACTTCATCGTCAGACCTTGTTGTTGTATCAGCTGGGGGATTCCAATTCTCTTGTGCAGTAGACACCACACCAATCGAGCCTCCTAAAACAAGGTAGACAAAGACATTATATATATTTCAAATTTGAACACCAACTCAGGGTTTCCACACTATAAACATGTTATACGGTATTTAGAATGGTATTCTGTAAACATCATGATGTGAATGTTGTTTATGATAGCCACCTGAATGCATAGATAATCCGTCACGGAACTTAACAGGTAGTTCAGTCCGGGATAAATTTAAGCATAACCAGTCCAACGCAACTTCAAAAGTTGCACCATCCTACAAAGGTCAAAATCAAAGCAAAACAAACTTAATTAGCAACTTTAAAAGGAACACTTATTAATACAACATTTGAAAGGGAAGTATAAGCAAAGTTAGTACTAGCATGTGCATGCTTTAAACAACTACATCAAACATATTATAACGCCTCCTATACATTCTTCATATTGTCCACACGTAGTTCACACTTCACACCAATCATTTGAAATGGATAAGGTCATATTCATGGGTCAACGCCTAACATATTCCCACTTATAACGTGCACGTAGCAAGGGGTAATATTATCAGAGAAAGCAAGGTAACATAATTTCATTGGTAACATTGAGGTCTAAAGACTTCAAATTTATTGACAGCAAGGTGATAGATTTGGTCTTGCCTTACAGAGGGGTAAAAAAATTATTGCAGTAATTTTATGTTTCTCCAAGCTATAAAAAAAATTATAATTATGATTAACTACTGAAAAATGGCTTTTAGCCAAATGAAGTTCACTGAGGCTCCGTTTGTTTTGAAGGGAAATACTTTTCAGAAAAATGACTTTCCATAGAAAACAATTTTTCCAACAAAACCATAATTACAACTATAGTTTTCCTTTTCCTTACAAGAAGAGGAATAGGAAATTAGAAATGGGAAGAGATGGATGGAAGGAGAGGAAAAGGATGATAGGAGTAGGAAGAAGATGAATGTTTTCCACACTTGGAAAAAGTGTTTTCCACCTTCAGAAAAATTGTTTCCATTCTTACAAACAAAACCAGATGGGAAAAAACAGAGAATGGGAAAATCGTTTTACTAAAAAAGGGTTTCCGTCAAACCAAATGGAGCCTAACTCCTAAGTGAAGCTGGTTCATTATCCTCCCTATTTAGCTCAGTTTCTCCACCTCACAACGAATTTATTCAAACAATATCATACAAATATTAATCATTAAAACATGAATCCAAAAAATAATAATAATAAGTAATAGACTTCAATTAGAGCATGCTTGACAAATTCTTTAATTCAAAGTAATTCTTAAATAAAGCATTGTAAGTTGTTTCCTTCTTCACTATGATAAATAAACAATCAATAACAATGTAGTATGCACTCCATCTCAGCCTGTTAAGATCAAACAATCAAATAGAATTAACATCAAAATCCAATTCATCAGAGATACAAAATTAATTAAAAACCAAACGATTACAATAATTCAACTTCTAAACAAAAATTGACATGCTAAATCAAATTGATCAACTACAATAATAGTGATAAAAAAAAATAAAAAAATAAAAATAAAAAAATAAAAAAATAAAAAAAAAAAACAGGTAAGTAAACTACGAGTACCTTAAGCGAAGAGAGAGCACGTTCAATCTGATCATCAGAGAATCCTTTGCCAGAGAGATTTTCGTAAATTGATTTGAGCTTCTTGGTTTTCTGTGCTTTGGAGAGAGAAGACGACTGTGATTCTTCGAACGTCGGGCGGACAGTGGCAGCGTCGCTGCTATTGTTGAGCAACAAGCGGCGCAGCCTCTGCTCATTCTCTGCCGATAACTGCAGCTTTGGGCCTCCTGCTGATGAAGAAGAATTATTCTTTTGCTGCTGCTGCTTTTGTTTCTGCTGTTGTTGTTTCTTCTTTGGAGCCATTTTCCCCTTCGCAGAAGCAATTGTGTTGCTCAAATGCTCATTTCCCTTTATATATACTACTTTGTAAGCTATTCACACAACTTAGTTGGCCAATTTTATTTATTTTTTAAATGGTAAAGGGGACCCTCACAATATATCAATCCTCATGTTTTTTTTGGTCCAATATTTACGGGTAACACACTTGAAAATAGAGGGAAAGGTAAAAGAATCTATACTTCCAAGTACCCTCACTTGGTAGGATTCGAAGCCCCATAACTTACTTGACCAATTAACCACATTTGTATAACATAACACATTGGTATAAAACTTCATATAAAAGTTAACAGGTTGCGACAAATTGGGATAAAAGTTAACTATTTTTTACATTTAACTTTTTTTTTCTTGTCGGAGCACTCATCTAATATAAAAGTGCTTTTTTCAATATTTCTATGTCCTTTTGTTGTTGCTAATGCTCATTTAATGTCAAATACTTCTCCCCTCCATAACCACTTAAATTATCAAAAATGGATTTAGTTTAATGTTCTCACACTATGGTCGTCAAAAAACTTGTTGAGGAAAATATTGTTCTTTACTTACTAGTCAAATATTCTATCTTGTTCTAGAATATTAAGGGGTTGTCATTATTGTTATTGGTTTCAAAATGATAACCTCGCTAACGTAACACAATAAAACAATAAAGATGTTATCATTGAAAAAGTTTTAGAAAAGTTGGATAGCTAAAGAAATGAGTAGATGAACATGTGTCAAAAGATGCAAAAACTTTCCATTAATTAAAAGATAAAGTCAGGAATACAATTGTACAAGGTTGAAGGAAAGATTACCTTCATGTTCATACAATCTAAAACCTTTATGCAAAAACAGTGTTAATAAGCTATTGTTCAAATGAATAGTGAAATGATGATCTTACCCTTTAGGTCCACCTTAACAGTTAAGCAAGTGGATGGTTCTCCCACCATTTTTTGCCACGTAGTTTGCCTTTTTCGCCTTCTCCTCCCATCCTTTCACTTTGCTTTTCAGATTTTCATGCTCTCCCATAGCTCATCTTCTTCCTAGCTCATTTTCTCATCATATAACTCTCTCTCCTCCATTATTTGGTCCACAAATAACTTTTGTAGTATTGAGTTGGAGGCGATGCTTTGTGGTGGTGAAATTAATTTCCCCAATAGAATTCGCAAGCTTGCTGCATTTGGTTTGATCACCGGCGACAAGATTGATTGGGTAGGTGACCATTACTCTTTTATCATATCACCATCTTTCATCATCATCATTGTCTTTATCATCAATTTTATCATCATCAAAATATCATTTTCTTCATAAAAAAAGCATATATCGCCTCTGTTCGGGGACAATTTGTAACACCACTAAAATTCACGTATTTTAAAACAATAAGAGTAACCTTTTAACTTTTAAAACTTATCGAACCTCGGAAGTGTTACTGCTACACTTATTTTCCTTAGTAAAATAAATGCAAAGCAAAAATGAAAATACAATTTAATAAGCTAAGTAGTCTAAGATTCTAAGTGGCGGAAAAATAAATAGTCATTACATCCAAACTATAAATTATTTTAAAATAAAGTAATTGCGGAAAAAGAATTAAGCTCAAAAGTAACTAAATTATCATGGCTACGTTATTTTTCTATCGTCTCCTCACACGTAATCAAGTACCCTCTTACCAACCTGTAAAATAAATCATAAACAAGAAAAGAGAGACAAACTCCCAAAATCAGATTAACTGATTAATTCCAACTCCATCTCGTAAAATAAATAATTTTAGTTCAAAAACATTTTGTACATGATACAGATACATAGACATTATGATATAAAACTATTATTAAATTGTCACACAACACTTTATTATTTATTGATAAGAAATAAAAAGAGAACGTCAGTAAGTCGGGACTAGTCCTAGTCACCACCTACTTTACATAGGGTCGCGCATAACCTAAAATGGCCATGAAAATAAAAAAAGAATGTCCCTAGTGTGCACACCTCTCACTAATACCCAGTGATTAGAAGGAAGACTAAACAGCAATATACGTTAATTATTCAAACCGACTAGTAGCAACCATAACTACTAGTGGGCAATTTGTTCTTCACCCTTTCGGGTTTCATTTCCCTTCTTAATTTCAATGTACTTTTTAATAGATTAAATTGTCCGATCGCATTGCACACAAATATTACACAAATCAATTTAATCCTAAGTAACAATATTCCAATTTCATTATTAATAGACCAGAGTCATTCTACATGACATATTAATTATTATTCATTGTCCGAAAGGCATTGGAGACCATCAAATACATATAATCAATCATCCATATTCCAAAATTCTAATTATTCTAAAACTCATATGATACCAATTGGTTAAATTTTCGAAAATACTAATACTAGTACACACAATATAGAAAGTATCAAAATATTATGGTTTCATAATATCATACGTCATTCATTACATTTAATCACATAAGCATATAGTTGGCACATAATAAACCAAAATATTTTCCTAACAAGATTCTAAAGATGATGGACATTGAAAATTACCTTGAGTTACGCAAACCTAAAGGTAAATAACCTCCGAGAGTTCACCTAGTGGCCTCTGTCTACAAATACACCCAATAAATAAGACTAAGTTAGTGTGTTGTCGTATGCTTAGTAGAAATAGGGACACGAACCTAGTCTAATGTTAGCCTTAATTAGATTCTGATTTGGGTATTTTTACCCCGCCACGTGGGCCAACCAGAGTGTGACACGTGTCACCCTAGGGAGAGCCCAAAGTGGACCTAATAGGGCTAGACACGTGGCAGGCAGATACTCCATATGGAATTAGCGGCCTTCAAGGCCCAATTCGTTCCTTAGGGTGCCCTTAAATGGCGCAACCCATTAGTCTTAGGTTTCCGTAACCTAGGATTGGGGCACAAATCCCAATGACTCTATAAATAGGGAGATTTTCCCCACTTTGGGGAGAACATTCAATTATTAAAAACACTAAATTCTCTCAAAAACTGAGAAAAACACTTGATCTTAGAATCCGAGAAGATCCCACTTTACTTTTCGCACTTTTTAACATTCTCCGTACACGTTCTAACTTGATCGTCGGAGGGGGAACTCCACCCAACCGGAGTCTCCGTTGTTTTGCAGGTACAGGCGCCTGAAGTCAAAACTTAGTGACGTAAATCTCCCGAGGGAGATAGAAAACCTCGAAACATTTGGCGCCGTCTATGGGGAGAGTACCTCTAAGATGGCTTCACAATAGTCTGTACCGCCTCCTAATGAGAAACAGTCTACGGCCGAAGCCAAGGTTTATTCAGACCATGACAGTGATGACGACTTTGAACTCGAAACGTATGTGGCCGCTAATGGGTCACTCAGAACCAGACGCACCCGTCCTAAGGAAAGAAGGGAACGGGGCGATGATCAAGCTGGTCCGAGTAAGTCATCCGGACATCCGTCTAGACAAAATTAAACCAGGCGGCGGAAAGCACAACCCCAGTCACTCGAGACGAACTCATGAAATTCATGACAAGTTTCAAGGGGGAGATAAAGGACCTGATCAACAAGAGGACGACTGGCTCCAACAGGGGTCAGTCGGCCAAGAAACCTTCTCCCTCTTAGAAGAACAACCCGGTCAGGGACCGAGAGCCTACTCCACATCCAAAATCAAAGGAAGGGAAGCGGCCCTTGATTAATCTTAGCAAGATCCGATTCCTTGAGACAGAGAAGAGGAAGGCCATCCAGCATGTCCAGCCGGATGGCTCAAAGAAGACATACTCTGATGCTCGGTTCCTAATCGAGCAAAAGAGAAACCAGAAAATGTCTAAGTCGGCTTCAACGTCAACCTACCCAGACAGCTTCCAAAATGCCTCAATGAGGTATTCTCAATCTGTGCGAGAGAGTTAGTCAGGTGGCCCGTCCGTCCACACTGGCCCTCAAATTATCCATTCAGTCCCATATGTGCCTCAGCAGCCATACATGCCGTATGGACAACCTTATATGCAACCAGCCCTCTTTGGGGGTCAGGGGGCACAAAACGTCCAACCTTTGGACTGGCAGCTCCGTCTGCTAAAACTTGAGGAACAACCTTCTGCGTTCTCCAGGAAAATAACCGAGGTGGCACAGCCGGCCAAGGTTAAAAATGTTTTGGTAGGTACTTATGTTGGTACCACCAACCCTGAAGATCACCTCATAGCCTACACCAACCTCATGTACTTTCAGGGGTTGGATGACGCCACCTGGTGTCGATGCTTCCCGGTTACATTGTAGGGCATTGCCCAACAATGGTTTGACAATTTTCTAGCCGGCTGTGTTTAAGGTAAAAATACCCTGTCCACGTGGCCCAATGGTATGTTGAAACGTTTCAGCTTGAGAGAGGCCCAAAGGGATCCAATCCTCTACTAACACGTGGCACCTTAACCCTAAAAGGGAAACTAATCCCCTTCCACTATAAATAGAGGAAAATCCTCATTTATTACACATTCATAAATACAAACACAAAAACCGAGCAATATCAATTGCAAAATTCTCTCTGAATCAGAGAGAAAAACCTTTACATTCCGCACCTTAATACATCTAGAAACGTTCTAACTTGATCGTCGGAGGCGGAACTCCACCCAACCGGAGTTTCCGTGGTTTTGCAGGTACAGACGGTCGACGCGCATTCTTGGAAATGTAACTCTCCCGAGGGACTCCAAAAACCTCGAAACATTTGGCGCCGTCTGTGGGGAGGGTACTTCCGAGATGGCATCCGAATCTGTACCGCCTGATGAGGGCAAATGGCCTATGGCCGAGATAGAGGTCCACATGGACCAAGATAGTGGTGACGACTATGAGATCGACACCTATGTGGCCCCAGACGGGTCATTCCGAACTAGACGCACCCGTTCCAAGGAAACAAGGGAACGAGGCGAAGACAAAGCTGGTCCTAGCAGCCCAACCGTCAAGCCGGCTGGGCGACCCCAGGCGGCGGAGGGTGCTGCCCCCGTAACTAGAGACGAACTCATGAAATTCATGACGAGTTTCAAAGGGGAGATCAAGGACATA